GATAGTTTGTCTTGAGGTTAAAGTAAAGTCACACCAGGGATTAATTTATTAGGGAAGGTAGACACCGTAGTCATTTCATATACATGTTAATTTATTGAACTAATATCATGAAGAATAGAAAAACACTCTACCGTGTTGATACTATGGTAGAAAAACCCACAATGCACAAACTAATATCATAGAAAAGTTTAGTAGCTTCACTGAAACTGTTCTTGATACACCTTTTGTTCTTCCTTGCAGGTGTTGAAGAGTGTTGCAATTGATGGAGCAGAACATGATTTAAATGTTACAATAGATCTTGACACAAGTAACTGTGGAGATATCAAGTACTTTGATAACATTCTCCAAACAAAAGTTTTCGAGAAAACGGTATGAAAATATAGATGCTTTGTTGTATGTCTATTTCCTATTTACCAATTTTGTTTCTTAGCAAGTTGCAAGTACACATATACTGTCAACTTTTTCTTCTTCTTCTATCTCCCACCCACATAGCTGGCTCCAAAAGCACATTTTTCAGTAAGGTATTCAGTTGCTAGGCAGTTGTATAATAATAATAATAATAACAAAGGTGGTATTGATGATGGTAAGTCAATGGAAATAGATATGAATATAAAAATTCTGAACTTTGTTAATAGGTAAGAACATGTAGGCTTTGTATTTGATTCTGTGATATATATACATAATTTATTTTAAAAAACACAGTGGACAGTGCATGTACCTGTAAAAATGGTTAATTGAACAGGTGCATTTTGTGTGATATGTTAGATGAATATACTTCTTGCTTTCATAACAGGCTCATGTCATCATGATTACTGCAGACACCAATGTAGTTAAATTGGTGAATGTAGATCCTGCAGATGAAATTGAGAAGTCTAATCAAGGACTCCCAAGACTAAGGTAGGATAATAATTATTAGCACTCTTTTTAATACTTATTCAAGTACTGTGACTACCTTTTAAGATTTGATTTAGAACTGATTTTAACACTGTCATAATAATTAATTCAACAGAAAAATGCAACAGGGTTAGTTTTTAAATGCTACTAATTTTTGGCATAAGTGTAGGTTGTTTTGATTTGTATAATGTCTTTTATGATACAATATGAAACTTTTAGAAATATATAAATAGAATGCAGTCATTTAATCCTGTAATATTCTTTTTCAACCTTTCCCTTTTAAGTAGTTCAGTCTCCAGTTCATAAACAATCAGATGGTATTCAATAATTATGATCTCCATTTTAATTCATGTTAATTTTTACATCTATCTATACTTTTCAGGATGCTCTACAATCTTGAGCAGGATGTACCCTTAAATTCTTCAGTACTTATAAAGGGGAAAACTGCATTCAGATTCTCTCTCAGTGATAAGGGACACATTGCAGGAACAGAATTCATGGATGTTGAACCTGAGACGTAAGACAGAATGATACTTGTTTTTGGAAATGTAACAGTTGCTACATTGATTTTCTAATTATTTATTCATGCTAGATATTTTTAATGATCATGATTTTATTATCATTAGGTTAATGAATACACTTAAATTTCTTTCTTTTCTGTCTCTTTGATTTACTAGTCTTTTAGTAGTAATAAATGGGAGAAACTACCAGTGTGCACCAATAACCCACATCACTAGACATTAGCCAGTTTTAATATACAAAAGATATAACTAGGAAAAAACAAAGCATCTTGAACTGTTTTTTTTTTTTTTTTTTTTTTTTTTCATTTGTAGTATGTACATATCAAACACTTGGGAAATGTGGAAAAATGTAATTAGCAAAGACCCTATGTTGAATTTGGTGCCTTTCTCATGAAAAAGTGAAGAAGTATTAAGTAAAATCACTGAGTTGTTAATTGGTTATCTGAATCCTTTTCAAGCTTTGAGGTTTTCCTGCCAACGGAGGACAGTGGAACAGAATCTTCCTCCATTGGATCTTTTAGCGTGAAGATGGGAGGAGTTTATGACTTCATGGTGCATAAGCCTCTTGATGGATCCAATGTAACAGTGAGTGACTTCATAGCTATGTAACAATTTTCTATCAGATTTTCTCTTTTCGTAAAAAGCCAGGTTAATTAAAGTAGAAAAAAATAGAATCTTTCCTGGATTTCTGTCTGTATATTTAAGTATGTATTTATATTTATATATATGTGTGTTGTGTGTGTGTGTGTGTGTGTGTGTGTGTGTGTGTGTGTGTGTGTGTGTGTGTGTGTGTGTGTGTGTGTGTGTGTGTGTGTGTGTGTGTGTGTGTGTGTTGTGTGTGTGTGTGTGTGTGTGTGTGTGTGTGTGTGTGTGTGTGTGTGTGTGTGTGTGTGTGTGTGTGTGTGTGTGTGTGTGTGTGTGTGTGTGTGTATGCGTGCGCATATATGCATATATGTATATGTATAAATATATGTGATCTATATTATTGTCCAAACCCCCTATGATCCGGATGCTGTGCCTATCATGTTTGGCCTGAGGGGCAGGTGGCAGGAACATGCCATGAGTATACAAAGCTCTTAGAGGGTGATTAGACTCATTTAGCATTTAGGAAGGGGCTTTGGTATTATTTCCATTGATAAACAAATGGAATGTACTGCCTGTGAGCCATGAATGACAGAGTGCCAGCTCCAGGGAGGACTGTTTCCATGCTCAGCATCCTATTCCTGTCTGTCATGACTAGCAGCACAAGTTGTATTTTAAAAATTTGAACATTATGAGATTATTAGAAGATGACACAAATTGCAAAATGTTATTTATTCATTTCATTAATGCACTGAGTTACTGACTGCCTAGAGAGATAATATGTGCAAGGAAAATAGTCTATTACCATCTGCATAAATCAAATCAAATGACAAATACAGATATTGGAAAATGGCAAAGAAGCTATAAACACTTATAGGGAGGGGTATGGAGCCTTAGTTACCGCACGAGTGTTCATTTACATCCAGCCTACAAGCCACGTACCCGTCAGAGTGTCCTCTCAAATAGGCCTAATATCCATAATTTGGGCCACGTGGTGGCAGTGAAGTATCCAGATCCAATGGGTTAACTAAATTCTCTTTTGTATAATATTCCTCTTTTCCTTTTTACAGTCTGTCACATTGTATGAAGTTACTCCTGCCAATACTGTCCATATGCTGTGGCTGATACCGCAATATTTTGTTATCACAGTATCTGAAATCATGTTCTCCATTACTGGGCTTGAGTTCTCATTCATGCAGGTATGTAACTTGAAGGTTACAGGATATGTTTTGATTTTTTCTTTGTGCTTTTCCTTATATATAATTTTTAGATGTAAATTAATTGCAATATAAACTCCAAAATATAATTATATAGCACGCATATTTTATATCCAATAATAGTATTAGTGATTCACTTGATTCCTTTTTATCCTTCTTTATAATATATTTTCCAGGCTCCAAGTAGTATGAAATCAGTCTTACAAGCTGCCTGGCTTCTCACAGTAGCTTTTGGTAACTTGATTGTTGTCATCATTGCTGAAGCCAAATTCTTTGAAAGACAAGTAAGTGTTGTAGTTTAGTACATACAGTGGGAGTAATTGTTAAAGTTTACTGGGAAATAAGTTTTCAAGATGTATCATTGATATGTAAGAATATTTTTTTAATAGAAAAGTGAATGGACTAATAACAGACTTTTGGGCCAGATACTCAAACATTACAGCGTTGTATGCCCTTAACGCTCTGTAGCTTACAGCCGAGTTCTCCTACGTGTTGGTACAAGTCAAGGCGCTGTAGAGTAAGGCAGGGGGAGTGGAGCCCTAGTGGGTTATGGGAACCATAATGGACACTTTTACAGCTTTAGAACAATTAGTACAACCTTACAAGGTGCTTTGCTCTGTTATATTGCTATTATTTGTGTATTGTTAACATAGTTTTTGGGTGATTGGACATCATGATGATTCAAGATTACTTTACATATATAAATATAGAAAAGGTTTGAAGGTGAATCTTCACAATACAATAAAATACATTGTTTGTATTTTAAAGATATTCATTCTCATTCATACCTTTTCTACATTTGTCAACATGAATGCAGTTCATTTACAAATATAGTTTAGGCTTTAAAACTTATTCCAAGTATTATTTCTTAAACTGGTAATTGTTATGAAAATCAAAGCCAATATTACTCTTGTAATATTGGCCATCTTTTGAGCAGGGTCACTTTCAAGAAGACAATTCTTCATTCCCAACTTTCAAGGTACTCATGCATTCCATTAATAAGCTTTCTTATAAGAAATCTTGTATATTGCTGCATTATTCATTCTTTAACATAGTAGTTAAAACAGTTTCATTATGCCATGGACTGGATACAGATGTGTTTACAAACAACTTAGCAGATTAGCTTTAACGGCTTGTAATTGATCAAGATTCCCTAAGAGCAGCCTGAAACAGCAACTGTGATTGCCCATTGAAGATCAGATGCCATAGGTGATTTACGGTGGAACAGGGTTTAAGGCGAGGATAAGGGACCATAAAAAACCTTTGTGAATACAGCGCCTTAGACAGGCCATGACATAAGTCGCTGCAGGACAGTTACGTCCTCCAGTGCACCTTAAGCTTAAGGTTCTTTTGAGTATCTGGCACCTGGTTTGCACTAGAATGGGGAAGGGTAGTGAGATTATATATAGAAAACCTTAACATCATTAGTATTTGAAAATGGAGGTCTGTGAAAGTAACACCGTATAGGTAAACTGAATATTGAAAATATGTATATCCACAAGTATAGATAAACTGAATATTGAAAATATATATTTACAACAAAAGGTCTTTCATAGGCTAAGGATATTCCTTTGTGAACTAAAATACGTATAAAAATAAGTAAGATAAAACAATTTTTTTGAGTAGAATATGGTGATTTGAAGCTCTATATTGATAGATTGTTTCCCAGGACTAGAAGCATCATATCTGTGTATCTTATCCTCAAACATAATACTTCTCATTAATAGTGGATCCATTGATGGAGTGTCATATATTAGTTCTTATCCTAAGTAAATAAGGATGAAGAAGCTTATTCTTAAGCTTTTGAAAGTAAATGAGCAAACTTGAATTTATACCTACATGTGTTATGCAAATTTATGTGATTCTTTTTTCTATTATTACAGGCTCTTGAGTTCTTCCTCTTTGCCGTCCTCATGTTTGTTGATATGGTGGCATTTGCTGCTTTAGCGGTAAGGTACAAATATGTAGATCAAAATGGAGAAATCGAAGATTCCAAAGAGAAGCAAGGAAAATCAGGGAAGGAAAATGAGGCGTATTCTGATGATGAAACAAACTTTTGATTAGATAATTACAGAGTCATTAATTGTTAAATACCAATCACTCTTCTGCTATTACTTGTTTAAAGTTTTGGAGTAATGTAAATAATAATTTGCCTCAGTTACATGATTTCAAATGAAAAAAAAGTCAAGTATGCAGACAAATATTCCCTTTCCATATTTATGATTATTCAAATTGGCTGTTGTAAAAAACAATTTTTGTTGGCTGTTTGAATTATACATATATTTAAGGTTCATTATGGCTTCTGCTCCATATCTGTAGTCTACAGTATGTAAAAACATATACTGGTATATATACATAAACTTATTTGATGAATTATTTTACGACATGCCTTAATCAAACCACAAAGTAAAGATAAAGGTCAAAGTTGAAGTTTATTTACAGTACATAATGTTTATATTTATTGTCTTATTCCATATTTTTCATGTATCTCAGCCATTAGCCTTTCATCTTGTAAATATCATTTTTATCTGTGAATATTGTAGAACAGTTTTTACAATAATTCTAGGTTTTAACTTGGGACAGCTGAACCACATGTATTATCTGTCTTGTACAAGAGTCCTGTAAAATACTTGGTGGGTGCCAGATACCTGCAGTGTGTCTTATATTATAAACATTGATTTTGTTTATATATAAATGGCTTCACAAGTGCTTAGTCACCAAGGAGATAAATTCCTGGGCTACCTAATCTCACTTTTTTACCCCATTCCTTGATTTTTTTGTTGAAAGTTTTTACTTCTATTACTGAAAGGTGAGGTCAAGGAAATCTACTAATTGAGTCCTTAGGAAGCCATGTGTGTGTGTGTGTGTGTGTGTGTGTGTGTGTGTAAACAAGATTAATTGAAGAAAACCACAGTGGGCAGCACACACAGACATGCACTCCTAGTGTCAATAGGTTGAATAGTGAATACATAGAAATAACATAGGAGACCAATGGAAACCTATTATATTTGCAAACATATTTTTCCAGATATTTTAAAGTTTTAAACAAATGAATGTGGTAAATATGAAAGGTCTTACACAAATGTATTTTCCCAAAAAAATCCTAGAAATGTCAATTTACAGCAAATGCTTTTTGGAACAACCCTTTTTGTGCATGCAAATACAAAATTATATTTTGGATTATTTAAATATATATCAATCATTGTGTCAGATTTTTTGGTGGATCAGCTTTGATTTATAATATTGTTACCTGTTAAACCAATAGATACAATTTTTAGGAATACCAGTGTATATTATTTTAATATTTCAGAAGAAAATATTCATAATTAATGATTGCATACTGTAATGTTATGCTGTATGTATCTTCAATGTCATAAGATAATTTACTTCTGATGCAAAAGTATTAAAAACATAATTTTGTTTCTCTTTATTTAAAACAAGGATTTTTTAAATAAATATCTTTTAATAAAAAAAAAAAAACATTTTATTACCCACAACACAGTATGAGGTTGACAGAAGATACAAATTGGAAATTAAGACTTTATTCTGTTTATGATGTTTTACCTTGGTACATTAACATTCCTTGTTATGTTGGAGGAAAAATCCAATGAATATATTTAATCTTAATATAGATTTTTTTCATATTCTGTAGCATAACTTTACTAAAGAAGTTTCCTTTATACATATATATAAATAAAAAAAGTATGGATTGCCCTATGAATTTTACACCTAACATTGGCCTGAAACACTTAGTCATTTTCGGAGTTTAGCTGGCTTGCTCTGAGAATCAGATTGATCGTCAGAAGTGTCCGTCTTGCCTCTAGACCCTCGAGCCTTCTTCAGGGAAGTGGAGGAACTAGAGGCTTTTCCACCATCCTCTTGTTTGATTTGCTGATAGAAGAATATCTTTTAGTAAATAACTTCTTGGTTATTTGAGCTGTAATAGTACCAGACTTCTCTGAGGAGCAAACTGAAATGAAACTATTTTTTTGTATGGAATTCTAATTCACATAAGTATCTCAGTCTAAATTATTGTGTATAAATACTTGAAAGCTCATATGTTACTAAATATACAGAGAGATTTACCCTGTAATGTCCATCCTACCTTCTCTCTGAAAGCTCATCTCGTGTCTACTCTACTCATTACCAGATATGCCACTCCCTACTCACCTCCTAATGTCCACCCTTCCCTCTCCTCTCTGCAAAACTCCACTATGGGCTCCATACCTGTTCACTCTTCCTTGCTCACAAATCATCCTTCGCCTCCTTGTCTGTGTCCTCCCTCC